GTCTTTAAAATATACAATTAGCTATAATAATATTAGTCTCCAATGTGGAATTGGCAGTACTTTTGTTTATTTACTTTTTGTTCTTGTTTGTTTGCACTCAAGGTATGGGCACTGTCCCTGAGCTTCTTTGCTAAAGGCTAGTATTCTGTCATTTTGGGCCACAGCTTCACTTCCTGTTTTCTTGTGGTTAATTGGACTCTTAACGACTTTCCTGCTAGGGCTGCCTTCAAATCCATAACCTTTAGATCTGAGCCTCCTGAGTAGCTAGGATTAGCGGTGTGAGCCACCAGCATCTGATCAGAGTTGGAACTGTTTTATAACAAGCTTTAGTATTGAGCCTGGCTGTAAGAACATTGTTGTCTGGGGGTGGTGGTGGTGGCTTAGGGCTGCTGAGACACAGAAGTTACTCAGGGCCAGTGTTACTAAGTTCTGTGTATAACTTAAAACTTTCTCTGTGTCTCTTTGCTAGGTGGGAAAGTGCTCATCTTGGCTCTTTGGGGGGACAAGAGCCCCTGCCACCTGCAGGCCTTACACTTCAGTTTTGCCATGGGTGCGTTCCTGGCTCCCCTGCTGGCTAAACTGGCTCTGGGCCCCACAGTGTCTGCTGACAACCACACAGAAACCGACTTTCTCCCTGCAGCCCTCAATGCCTCTTCTGCAGTTGCCTCAGTCTCTCTACTCGCACCTCCCCATGACATGAACTTACTGTGGGCTTATGCTTCCTTAGGCACTTACATTCTCGTAGTTTCTCTCCTTTTCTTTGCTCTGTTCTGCATGAAAAGTTCAAGGCAGGGAAAATCAACTGCATCTGCTCAGCAATCTCGAAGAGCTCAATACCACAAGGCCCTTCTCTGTCTGCTTTTTCTGTTTTCCTTCTTCTACATTGGGGCTCTGGTGACATACACTTCTTACCTTTTCTCCTTTGCCACCACCCATGTTGGCATGGAGGAGGGAGAGGCAGCTGGCTTGAACTCCATCTTCTGGGGGACCTTGGCAGCCTGCAGTGGCCTGGCAATGCTCTTTGCTGCATGTTTAAGCCCTGCCACTATGATTGTGTTGAGCAACATTGGCAGCCTGGCCTCCTGTTTGTTTCTGGTGCTTTTTCACAGAAGCCCTCTTTGTTTCTGGATAGCAACCTCTGTGTATGGGGCCTCCATGGCCACCGCGTTTCCCAGTGCTTTTTCTTGGATGCAAGAGTACACCACAATCACTGGCAAATCTGCTGCATTTATTATGATTGGTGCTACCTTGGGACCAATGGCTATTCCTGCATTAACCGGAGTTCTTCAAGGACAATATCCAGATCTGCCAGTAGTGGTGTATGCCTGTTTTGGGTCTGCAATTTTCACTGCTGTTTTATTTCCTATGATGTTTAAAGTAGCTACCTTGCCTCTTCGAAAAGGAAACAGAAAAGGTGAGTGTTCTGGACTATGAAGACAAGAATGAAAATATGATTCAGAAAAATAAAATGAAATTGGTTCATTCCCTCCCTACCTTCATTCCTTCCTGGCTTCCTTCTTCCCTTCCTCTCTTCCTCCTTTTCCCCCATCCTCCTTCCCTCCCTTCCTTCATTCCTTCCTCTTTTCCTTCCTCCCTTCTTTCTTTCCACCTCCCTCCCTCCTTTGATTTCTCTGTCTGTCTCTCTGTCTTTGTCTCTCTCTGTCTCTCTCTTTGTCTCTCTCTGTACTGGTTTGAATCCAAGGATTCCCTAAATCCTCCCCCTAATCTAAGAGTTCAGCTCAGAAATGGCTTTTGAACTGGTTGAAATGAGTGGAACAATGAGGCCTTATGTAATGCAGACATCTAGTCATATGTTGATGGCCCCACAGTGAGATTGCAGACCAATTCCTCTTCAGTGCATTGGTGAATGCATCCATTTCAGTTAATGCTGGTCCTCTGCCACAAAGCTCCAGGATAAAAGGGAACAACATAATACTCAGAGTAGATAGGTAATTCCTGATGTTAAAAAATTAACAAAATTGTATTGTTATTGTTAAGTTGTTAGGCCAGAGCAGAGCATAAGCAGATTTTCAGCACTCTTGGGGATCAGATTTTCTAGGTTGAGCTGGGCACTGGTGGTTCATGACTGTCATCCTAGTTACTCAGGAGGCTGAGATCTAAGGATTGTGCTTTAAAGCCAGCCAG